TTGACTTGATTGGATTGAAAGCAGGAAAATCATACACTGAAGGACTAGCTGTCTGCTCTTGGAGAAGGTCCTTGACAAGTTTTGGCACAAGAAGTATCACAGCTCAGAGAAGCTCAAAAACAATTCAACTGTGTGAGACATTTCTTGCAGTAGAACACAAGAACACATGTCAGAGGACAACTTTTGGTGCTGGATTGCAGCACAGTCCACTGCAGACAATGCTACATCCACAGGCTTTCCTTCAAAAACCTCTAAAATTCCTCCAGTTAACGTCTGGAGTACAATCAATAACACAAGAAAAACAACATATTTCTAGCTAGTGAAACATAATAATTAGCTAACATGCAGTCAAAATCAGTGTTTCAGGGATATCTTAATCTGGATCTCATCTGGCTCTTCCTCAGCAACATCAAAGGGCTACACATAGCAGGGCTTCAAATTATGGGGGCTTTTTTTTCTGGGTGTGACAGTGCATTGTTTTGCTCAAATGCAAATTCAAACTTTTCCCAAACAGAGTTGCCAGTTCTTTCACCACTGTATCCTTGCAACTGTGAAAGGCAAAAAACTCATCAACGTTTATCTGAACTACATATAAAAGTTGATGATGAGCTTTCAGTTGTATGTCAGTTGTATATGTGTATGTATGTAAGCTAGCATTGCTGAGAAGTCCACCAAAAACATTTCTTCTTGCAAAGGAAATGTTTTGGGGGACTTCTCAGCTATGCTAGCTTGCATAGATTTTTGTTGACAGGCTTGTTGTTGGGCTGACAGTGTTGACAAAGGCACCATTGGCCTTATTTTGAGCTCCACTTTCATGGGGTGTTGCATTGGCTTGACATGGCCAAAAGTATGTGGAAACCACCCACATGTGCTTATTGAACATCTCTTTCCAGAACTGTGGTCATTAGTATGCGGTTGCCCCTTTCCCCTCTGCTGTGTTTGTCTGCGGAGATTGAATGGCTCTTTGCTTGATGGTATGCACCTGTTAGCAGTGCCTGTGGCTGAAATAGCCAAGCCCACCAATTAGTGTCCATATTTTTTTAGCCATGTAGAGTAAGTCTATGTTCCTACCCACATTTAAACCAGGTTCCTCATGTTGCCCCCAGATGTATATTCTTCTTACAAGATTATGATGCTTCTCATAGCTGCAGCATCATGCAGCACATAGCATTGTGTTGAGAGAGACTACCGCAAACTACACACTTAAAAGTGATGGTTCTTCAAGGTTTTTTTAGTAAAGAAAATGGTTCTATATAGAACCATGAACACTCAAAGAACGCTTTGCCTGATTAAAGGGTTCTTGGCATCATGCAGGGGTTCTTCAGATTGATGGAGAATGTGCTTTAAATGGTTCTATATAGAATATAAAGCACCAAAAAGGGTTCTTCTGTTGTAACATGCAATAGATGAACGCTTTTTTGTGGTATATAGAACCCTTTTCATAAAGATTCTTTGAGTGTTCCTGGTTCTATATAGAACCATTGTTTTTACTAAAGAACCCCTGAAGAACCATCATTTTTAAGTGTGTAGGCAACTTAGCCATACTTGGATGCAAGCATACATAAAAGCCTTCTGGTAGTATATTCAATCAGTCAGCTGAAGCCAGTACTACAGAATAACATGTGTAGTCAATTATGCTAATTATAATAATTGCACTAAGCAACAATACCTTTTGTACACAATAGTGATTGCAGTAGTGTAGCCGTGCATAACTTGTGACTGAGCAGGTGCTGCCTTTGCTTACAGATGCTGCAGAACAATTTCTTGGAGATGCAGAATTACTCTCAGCTAAAAGAAAAAAAGCTGCTAAAAGCCAAGTGTTTCACTTGCGTAGAAAAATAAGGAAATGAAGATTACAGAAAAAGAGTGCAAGAAAATAAGAATAATTCAGCTGTCACAACCACTACTTACTTTCTAAGTTACCACTAAGTGTCTTGACTGGATTCTTGAAACCTTCCATCTTCTCATTTGTCCCTGAGGAGCCTAGCCTTGTTTAGCCTTCATTAGAAGACCCTCAGCAGAAAAGTGTTTCCTGATATGGGCCAGCGTAACAGTTTACAGATCCTGACAGCTGGATTAATCAGATCATCTGGAGACTAGTATGCCTGTGTAAACAAAATCATGTCTGTGTGCACAGATGTAATGAGGGACATTTGGGAGGGGTCTTGAGGAGGAGAATGAGGAAAATCAAATAATATGAACTGACTCCTTTTCGTTTATGCATTCCTCAGCAGATATTCATGTTGATTTTTATCTGTGAATCTGGGTCATGCATCTTTGTCCATTTATGGACAAAGTTAGAATAGCTCAAAAATAAGCATTTTAAAAATAAAAGTTACATATATATGTGTATTATTTTAATCACATATCATTTTCATTAGTCATTAATTTTTGCAGTTAATACATATATTACCAGTGTTACAGGTAGCCAGGATATTTAATTTCACTTGATTTGTCCTTCCTGGGGTCAATTGTCCAGATTCTATCCTCAAGTAAAGCCTTTTAATCTACTCTTCTATTTTAATAACAATGTGATTCTAACAATGCTGAAAATTCAGTGATCTGTTTTTGTCACAAACTACCATGCAAACATATGAATAGAAATATATTTCACACTACAGTTTAGGCTTGCAAAAAATAAATATTTTGATATTCCAGGATAAGGGGATGGTATCTTTTTCACATGAAGACTGTGTTCAAAAAATAAGCTGTATTTTAAGCTAATTAGTAGCTTGTACATAGTTAGCTAGCTAATATATGTAACACTGACAGGGTGAGCTGCTGAATGATCAGTAGTTTTTTGGGGTAGCCTGCTGAATATTTTTAATTAACAGAAACTGCAGAAAGCTTGAATGTATCAAAAATATTTCTTTTCTGGTGGTTGAAGCCCCTGTGGAAAGCAAAGTCAGACTTGCATATGTTGTATGTGACTATCCTTCAGTTTAAGAAAATGTTCGCAGACCTTACTTCTTTCTAAATATGGCATAATTGTTATTTTTCTTTTGCTGTCTGATCACAAATACAATATCAATATCAATTGCTGCCCTCTTTGGGTTAAGTTGTTAACTCATTCTAGATTGGATGTCGCTTTGAAAATGATTCAAAATAATAACATTCAAATTCAGATTTTAAATTTACAATTCTAATTCTAATTTACATGAATCTAACACAGTACCCACCTATTCAAATAAAAACCGTTGCTTATTGGATATGAAATAAAACTAAATTGATATTTTTTATCATTGACCAAACTTTTTATTTGGTTAACAATTAAACGGTTAATGATTTATATCCCTAATAGTGAGAGAAAGGACAGTAGCACACAAAGCTCCAACATTGCCCAATATGGACATGCACATGTTCCAAATACTCTGGGAGCAAATTAGTTTAATGAGTTAAAGGAGACAAAGCCAGTGTCTCTGAATATATCAATTGCAATATGTTATGAAAGTTATAGTTAATAATCAGTTAATAATTTGTGCTACATGGAACATATTGTTTGAGGAGTGGTTCGAGTTGAGCTGATATGGCATCACTTCAAAAGACACATGTAATTTTAAAGCTTGAGATACTCTATCAGGAAAACATGAAACAAGTTGTGACTGAGGGTAATTGCCAGCTTTGGCCTGTGTGAAGTTTCTTCAAGCCTTTAAAGTCCAGCAAAATGCTGAAAGTGCTTATTGGTGTAAGTAATTGATTCCAGATTTTATCAAGCCTACGAAAGGAACGGAAGAACATGCATGACGACTGCTTTTGTATGCAGTCCATTTAATGCCGTGCCTTTCAGAGTGCAAAGCTAAAAGTTTGAGTTACTTACATGCTAGAGAAAGTAAAATATTCATGTACATGTGTCATGAACGTGCTGGCATGACATAGTAGCAGCTCTGGTGCTGTTTCACACACATAGCCTCTCTTGAATTTTGTTCAATAAAGTTTATTACAGCATGCTAATTTCAGATCATAATTTGTAACAGTCTGGTTAATTTACTAGATGGACATATTTCCAGTCATACATCATGTAGCATTCTAGCATATACAGTATTGCTGTGTTTCAGAAAACAGAACGTAAACATGCACCCAGCTTACATTAGTCTGAAAGTCCTTTTTACCTGGCATTTGTCCAGAGACCCCCTCCCAACTTCAAAATACCATGGATTGTCTCTGCGTGGAGCAAACGCTTCAATTAATGTAACATCTGTCCATACAAAAGCAGCTTTCTCAAAACCCCAGCTGTTTACCAAAAATATAAACACCAGACAGGCTAGTGGTTAAAGGTTCAGGTCAATCTTTTTGAATGTATACTTTTTTGCTCTTTACTACCATGCACAGTCTATATTAGCTCCAGCAACTTGCATATGTAGGTCAGTGCATTAAAAGCTTGATAAGATTTGATTTTGGGTGTTAGGCGAGACATTCAATTTTAACTATTATCTTTTAGCAGAAAATTATTTAGATGTAGAGTGGCTCCCTGACTGGTCCCACACAACCGAAGAGAGCAGAATGGTTTCTTTTCACTGCAGTTCTAGTAAAAATCTCCTCCTGATTAGATGTGTCTTTATCCCTGCTGTGGTGGTTTGCCCAATTCACTCCTACTACAATCAAGCAAGCTGACAACTTTGAAGCATGCTTGCTGCTGTGCTTGGTATGAATGGGGGTTTACCCACCCCACTGATCTTTCAAAAGGATGCAGAGTCTTTGTGCTTGTTGTTTGGCCCCTTTGCAGAATTCTTCCACAAAGAGATTTGGAGAGTCTTTCTTGTTGTAATCTTGTGCCAGTGTATTTTTTCAAATTATATGCCACATGGTTTGAGCAGAAGAGAAAATCCTTGTGCTAGCTAACAGCATCCTTTGCCTGTGTAATGCAGATCAATTTGCTCAGAGCCGCGTTCTTTGCTTGATATTTTTAAGTAGTTTTAACTGCAGTGTGTGTGTGTGTGTGTGTGTGTGTGTGTGTGTGTGTGTGTGTGTGTGTGTGTGTGTGTTTTTTTTTTTCTTTGCAGGCTGCATCCCTAGCACTCTGCAGCTTGGGACATGTCTACACAGCCATAGGGGACTATCCCAATGCACTGGCCAGCCACAAGCAGTGTGTCCTGCTTGCTAAACAGTCCAAGGACCAGCTGTCTGAGGCACGAGAGCTGGGTAACATGGGTGCCGTCTACATTGCCATGGGGGACTTTGACAATGCCATCCAGTGTCATGAGCAACACCTGACCATTGCCAAGGCTCTTGAAAACAAACGGGAAGAGGCAAGGGCATACAGCAACCTGGGGAGTGCCTACCATTATCACCGTAACTTTGATAAGGCCATGTCCTACCATACACATGTTCTAGAACTAGCTCAAGAGCTCAACGAGAAGTCCATTGAGATAAGGGCCTATGCTGGGCTGGGCCATGCTGCTCGATGCATGCAGGACTTAGAACGGGCCAAGCAGTACCACGAGCAGCAGCTGACCATCGCAGAGCTACTGAAAGATCGAGCTGCTGAGGGAAGAGCATCATCCAATTTGGGTAAAAGCTTTTTGGGGTTGGTTTGAGGGGTAAAGGGCAGAGCAGCATTAAAATGAAAGTCAAATTGTGTTTTGTTTTGTTTTTTTTGTTTTTTTTTTTGCAAAGTCTTTTGGGATCTATATAAAAAAATACCCAGACAGACTTTTCCCCAAATAGAGCTAATTATCATTCTAGCAATAAAAGTGTACGTTTAGAGGAGAGACTAAAGCTGTAGTTCTGTATTCTTATTTGGGCTGCAAGATATGGCCAACTGCTATATTAGAATTATATTGCTGCATTTGAGATAGCAATATATCATCCAATACATTGAAAACACTTTAATGGACCCTTGATGTGGTTAAGGACTGGCCCTGGCATAATTTTGGAACAAACTTATTTGTGCTTGTTAAATCATCTAAATGCTATGATTCATCCAAACATCCAGAGAACATCTGTGGTTGGTCAGGATATTTACAATAGACAAGATCTTCTTATCCACATTTTTTTTAAATGACACATTTACTTCATTTCACTTATACTTTGTAAACTAACATTATACTACTAATGCTTATAGTACATATGGAAAGCTACATATCCTACCCACTGCTTTACATTTTAAGTTTTCTACTCTTGCTGCAAAAGTGCCCTATATTGGAGGTCACATGGAAAAATCGTATTTATAATATTGTAGTTGCCTTCGTTTCTTATTCATTTTGAAGCATATCACATTTAACACTTTTGACAGGTTGGTATTTTGGTGTTTCACAAATAAGACCCTTGAGACCCCGCAAGACACATACTCTAGCTCATAAACAGTTTTTGTTCTCGACGTCCTCCTTGACTTTGGAAACATCTGCATGTTAAACAGCCCAATTTAGCTTGTCCTGCCCCGCTTGCTTAATGAAAACTCCAAGCAGTTTGTCTCCTGTTGTAAATGTTTTGAGGCTGCTTGCCAGTTTGATGACACATCTGTAAAGTCCTTCTAAGGTCACTGGAATTACATCATGGCAAAAGGAGAGGAGTGCCATCTTGTTGTATGACAAGAAAAAACATCTATAGTGGCTGAGGGCAAGGAGAAGCATTAGTTTTCTCTTTGTGTTGTTGGAGTACTCACACAAAGTGGCAAGCTGCTTTGGTGGCAATGTCCGTATCTGTGTCAGATGCCATTAGGAGGAGCATCTACCTGTCTGCTGCAGTAACAGTGAAGATATGCGCACACTAAATCGCTGTGCACTTTGAAAGATGACCAAATTAAAAATACACACAACATTTAGCCCCTTCATTATGTCATTTTTCACCTATTATGTTTATTTTAGCCTACCTCTACCATTTATTAATAATTCATAGAATGTGCTCTGCACATTTCACTGTGTGTATGTCCATGTTTCTTTAGAGCTGGGCTCTCTCTTGCCTTTGCAGTGCTTGCCCAGTGTTCATAATAACTCACCTCAGCTTGTGTATTATGATAATGAATTATGCATGTTCCTTTCCTTGCCTTTGACAGTGCCTAGTGGCTTATTCGTCTTTGGCCCTATTAGTACGAGATGCCTTGGTTCCCTACAACAGCGTCACACATAATCCCTTGCAGTTATATTTTTTTATGGTTGCACTTCTACACTGCCTGCCAACTTACACAAGCTTTGGGGTTAGTTTTAAAGTCTCATTAGCCTTTGGATGACATCTTTTCCTCTTCCGTACAGGAAAGCACCAGAACGTGGCCGTAGAAACATTATATTACATTGCTACATAGTTATGATGCATAATGCATCTGCATGCATTCATTATTTCTTATAAAAGTGGCATGAGGTGTTGCAACAGGTAAAGAGCAAATTGCTACTAATAGAATATGGCACAATTATGTTTGCTAACTAAAGGTCCTGAAGACGTACACTCCAAAAAAATTAGCTGTAATACAATACAATGAAATAAACATTGCATTGGAGAAGAAATTTGAGAAGACTTAATACTAGTGAAAATCTGTCCATGCAGCAAGAAATCTTAAAATAAGTTGGTACCAGTCTGGAAACAATTAAGCTCTGATGAATGTTCAAAGGTTTAAAATAAGTAAAAAATGCTGTTTTTTAGATTAAACTACCTGGGGTCAGACTTGCTACAGCACAGTAATAAGGAAAATACACTGAATATTAGCAAATAAATCTTAATTATTTTTTTTCCATTCCAAATTTTGGCGCACTGAAAAAATAAGGCTAAGCAACAAGAAAATAAATCACTCATTTAAGTGGGAATTACCTAATACTATTGGAGTATGATTGTACTGACAACTGGTCCTTAATCTCAGAGCATACTGATTTTACTGAAATCACAGTGAGGACTGCAAGTGAAATTTCCATCAACTTTTACTGACAACTGAACAGAGAGACAGGGAGTGAGAGAGAGACAGAAATAGAGATGACACTGAACCACTGAAGAAGAAAATGTTATACTGTTTGAACATCAGATAGAAAAATATTTCTGAATGAAATAAACAACTTGATAACAAGGAATGAAAAATCTTCTACAGCAGAAGGTACAAATGCACAACAACAAATATCTGAAAGACAGTGCAAACAGAAATATAAGCACACCATTGCCACTATATAAAATGTATTTTTTAGCATGCCTTATGTGTGAATTTTAAATCAAGCTCAAGCAATTGAACTGGAGTTTGTGTTACTGAATCTTGAAACAAGTTTTTTTAAATGAAAGAGAATGATACAAATTGGTACTCTTTTACCAATAAATTACTCATTTACTGATTTTAACTAATTTTAAGTTTTTCTGACTAATTGAGGCATAACAGATATTCAGGATCAATTTAAGAATATACCATGAATTCAAAGATAGAAACTAGTAAGTAACTTTTAAAACAAGATAATTAATCTCATATTTCCAGACATAAGATTTTAAACCTTGGCAAGCACAGAACAAATTGCAGTGTACCCTTGAGGGTGACGAAAGAGGTAACACGCTAGTGACCATTTAGTGCCTTACATGAGAAAGTATAATAGCATTCCATGGTGGCCAAATATTTAGTAGAAAGTGAATATATCATGGATCTCGCTAAATTGACACATATTTCAGTAAAATAAACATCACCCTTGGCTTACGTTAGCAGTGAACTCTCCACTGGTTCTCTTTATAGAATCTGTTTGACTCATAGTGTACTTAACTGGTGACAAGTCAAACCTAAAGAGGATGACATACAATATAGGTCATTTCAGAATAATGAGGTCCATTTATCTATTTCAGTGTGCAATCTAAATGTAATGTACCTTATTTCAACATTACATCTTAGGTGAAATAGTGGTAGCTCCTTTTCTTTGAAATGAGACCTTACAGTTACTGTCAGAAGCATAATAGATAACTGAGAGATACAGCAGGGGACAAGGTCATGGTTTATGTTTTCACTTGAATGGCGGTGGTGTACTTTAAGTGCTTGTTCACTCTCAGAAAGCATTTTACCTTTTAAGGTAACAAAACTCTGTTGCTGTGGTGGTAGTTTCAAGGATGCATCCTTAGTACCTTCACTTATGGAATGTAATTGCACAACTTTCCTTTATAATTATATGAAGTGTTTTTGAAACCATGCATCACATCTTGACTCCAGCCTATTTTATTTTTTTCTGTTTAAAAAAGTTCAGAAAAGGTACAAATATGCACCTTTCCTTTTGGAAAGTGAACAAAGTGTATCTTTCAAAACTTAATGTACTCCATCTAGGAACATGCTGAATTAAAAACAGTACAAAAAGTTGTACTGAAATAAAAAAGAGTATAAAAGCAATAAAAATCAATATCTTAAATATTTTACCTTAAAATTCATTGTTTTGTTTTTTTTTTGTACATATATTTTTGTTCTAAATTTGATGCCTGAAACATGTTTCAGAAAAGACGGGACAGGAACGTGTTTACCACTGTGTTACATCACCTTCTCTTTTAACAACACTTAAAAGTCATTTGGAGAGTGAAGATACAAACTGATCCCACTTTGAAAGTGGACTTTTTTGCAGATCTTTTGTTATACAGGCTTTCACCTCTGCAACCCTACGGGTACTTCATTGTTGTATTTTGCACACATTTTCATTGGCAGACATGTCTGGACTGCAGGAACTCCTGTCTCACATTCACATTCTCTCATTACACAGCCATGCTGTTGTAAAACATACAGAATGTGGCTTGACGTTGTCATGTTGAAAAAAGCATGGACATCCCTAAAAAAGACAGCATCTAAAAGGCAGCAGTTTTCCAAAATGTGTTGAGCGTTAATGGTGCTTTTACAGATGTACTATCCCCTTATACCATGACAGACCAGCTTTTGAAATTTGTGCTGGTAACAGTCTGGATGGTTCTTTTCTTCTCTGGTACAGAGAATACTACGTCCGTTGTTCTGAAGGTTTGACTCATCAGACCACAATACATGTTTTCACTGTGCCTCAGTCCATTTTAGATGAGCTTTCACCAAGACAAGTTGGCAGCATTTCTGGTTGTTGTTGACATATTGCTTCCAGAGAGCATTGTACAATCTTCCATTTGTGGATACAGTGATGAATGGTGTTTATTGACATTGTTTTGTCAAAGTATTCCTGAGCCTATGTGGTGGTCTCTATCACAGAAGCATGCCGGTTTTATTGCAATAGCGTCTGAGGGGTTGAAGATCATGGGTATTCAGTAGTGGTTTTTGGCCTTGTCCTTTACACACAGAGATCTCTGGATTCCCTGAATCTTTTGATGAGATGTTGTACTGTGGAGGGTAAAATACCTAAAATCTTTGCAATCAATCACTAAGAAACGCTATTCTTAAAAGTGGCGAGTCTTGTCTCATCCTTGCTTAGAAAGGACTACCCCTTTTTACCCATTCATGATTGCATCACAGATGTTTAATGAACATTTCACAATGCTCTTAGTCTGAAATTGCCTCTGTCCCAGTACTGTTACTCAAACGCAGGTAGATTTATAAATGACTGCTTTCTGCTTTTGTTTGCATTTTACCTACTGTCTCAACTTTTTTTTGTACATTTGAGGGT